CGCAAGATAAAAGCGAGACCGTATGCGTGGCACGTAACAGCTCAAAAATCCACAACAACAATTCCCCCCTGGACAACAAAAGAGGCAAACAATGTACTAACAGGGAATGTTGCACGGTGTGGCCCCGGCAGGATAAAAGAAGCGAGAAAAACGAGTAGAGGTCCGGCAAACAAATGTGAGAGTGTGTAAAAACAAATAATGGCAATCGAGTGTATCTGTTGCAGGCAATATCGAACTGGAAGGTGGCAAAGAGTCGTTGAAGATTCACCAGTTTCATGACATTTGAACTACGAGGCAACGTCGACGAAAAACGTTGCGACTAACGCATAAGCGGTTTCTCTCTCTCTCTCTCTTTTTTTTTTTAAATATACATAGTAACACTCTGAGGGAATACACGTATACATATATTTTTCTAGGATTTCCATGGGCATGTAATCGTGATACAAATGCGAGCGATCGCCGTTCGCAGTTTCAGAAGCCATAATTCAAGTTTTAAAATATCGTGAATCGTCGCGAGAACGTAATGCTGACATTTTTCAACGAAGACTTCGAAACTTGATGCAGGTTTCCAAACGAAGGCCAAAAAACAAGCGGGAGGGAAAAAAAACCAAAAATAAAACGTATGTATCTCGGGAGAATCTCGATGCCCACGTAGGATCGCTGCGCAAGCAGTTTCACATTGAACTTTACTTCCGGGGAAGAAAAACGCGAGAGATTCCTTAGTTCGCATTAGCATACTAATGAACAGTAATCGCGTAACGTTCTTCGTTCGCTCTTATCGGACAGGCAACGTTACGAGCGCGTGAGAGGTAGGGGGTGATTTATTTTCATGTAATCCTCCGGTGAAAAAGCCACGCGTTACAACCTCTAATATCAGGACGCGCATTTTTGGGACATAAATCCGTATAGATGTTCCGTCCGAACGTACACGATGCGTGCAATCGAGGCACACATTATTTGATAAGAAATATCGCGAAATCTCGGTGGCACTGATAGGCATAATTGATTACTTGTTAAAAACAAATGATTATATTAAATAGATGCGATTTTACCTCTTTGTTACACAAATTGTTCCATTGAATGTATTTTGCTGAATTTTAATACATGTAGATTTTCAGAATCGCTGATTATAAATATGCAACCAAAATTTAAAAAATTAAAATGGCGAATTCAATGTGATGGCTAACTTGAGAAAATTAACTTTGGCTTATGAGTTATATGTAAAATTTTATATATAAAACATTAAAAATTTATAAATATATATATATATAATATTAAGAATTAAGAATATTAAAAATTTATATTTCATTAATATCAGAATTCACCATGTTTTGATAGTCATTTTGACCGCCATTTTGGATCTATCATTTAAAATTTGCTCCAGTTATGAACACAGATTTGAAATCTTATCCGTTGCCCTTTTGTCGAGCCTCAAGATTAAAAACTGATTAATTATTTAATAATAAATTATACGTATCTATCATTAATCGACATTTATTAGTTTCTTAGCTGCGGGGTGAGTATCGATTTGCGTCGTCAAATGGGAAAATGTTTACTACAATCAAATTAGAGAATATACACTAGGCATCGGGAATAAACATAGAACACTTTATTAAAGTGCTGATAATTATAACTTTAATTAAATTATTCAACAATTGCAATTATAATTGTAATTAACTATTGCTGATGATTGCATTAACGGCGGCTATTTCTATAAACGCTCAGACCTAGAACAGAGTGTAAACAGACCACAATATCGATCAATCGTAATGATCGGATGGTCCGCTGGGCTGAATAATTTACTAATTACTGTAACGATCTAATTGTAATTTCCCACGATCGACATCGCCGCATTGTGCTATAATAAGATGTTCTGTAATAAGATTGTAAGCCGTAAGAAATTGACTAATCATAGTTGATTATTTTTCTCATATTCGATTACGATTGGATAATTTCTTACGACTTATATACGACTTGTGATCCTATATTTTCGAATAGGCATTGGGGAGAGTCGAGATGATCCAGATCGTGACAAAATGTCACTTAGGACGATTCTCCTCGGCGACAGCGTTTCTTTCCAAGCTTCTATTTCCCATTTCCTCGGAGGCGCAGCACTTTCCCTTCTGACTTTCGTCGGAAACGGAATCACTCTGGTGATTTCCACCGAGGAAAAGTGACAAATATCTGCCTATCTACCGAGGTTCCGCGCTGCGAAAATATACCTTAGCATGGCACTTAGCTTGTTTTATCGTAATACATAAGTACAAACATAAAGATATTGTGCGTACAAGTGGTACCTCAAGTGATTTATAGAGCATTGATTGTCTATACGATTTTCTGTATAATAACTGTAATTGCGCGTTATGAAGTCCAAAATTGAACGAGAAACAATAGGAATTGATTTTAAATATTTAATATTCGTACACACGTACGTTTTCTCACAGGCTTTTGTATGTTTTAAATAATTTTGTTTTTAATATATATTTTATTACAATATATTTGTGATACAAGGCAAAAGAATGAGTGATTACTTCTGGAAGAATAAATTAATACTGTAGCAATATATAGCACATAAAATATTTTAATATTTCAACTGATGACATATTTTATGTAAAAAAATATTTTTAAGTAAATTAATTAAGAAAAGGGGGGGCCAGTATAGAATCAAGGTATTATCTTAATGCCTATAATAATACTCATATATATAAATTTTATAAATCCATATCTTTTAAGGCTAATTTCACCAACGTCGGTTAAGCTAACCGACGGTTAATTCCAATGGAATTATCCAATCGCATTTGTCTTTGATCAGAATGAACCAATCACGGTTGATACTTTAACCGTCGGTTAGCTTAACCGACGTTGGTGAAATTTGCCGATAGTAATACAAACTGTGCGCTGTGCTTACTGTCAGACTTAAAACGCAATTATAAATTGAAATTGAAATAATGAGATCACAAATTAAATCTATTATCAATTTAAGAATGTTAATAAGTATCTTAAAATACTTCGACATATTTGACGAGAACCTCAGCATCAATTTTGTCAATTTTGCTTTCCATGTTGTCAAATACTGCAGATCTCATCACTCGCGATACACTGACATTCAAAATTTCATTACGTGTTGCAACCGTTATTTTTAGTCTCTCATTGGTTGATGCACATATCGAGGACTTATTTAGCGTTAAGAAATGGGAGAATTACTTCTTAGTGCTTATAACTTAAAGCCCAATGATTAAAGCAAGGTTTTGAACCAGGTATTATAGATAAGATTTGAAAGATGTATTTAGGATTTATATATCATTCCTTTATTTCAAAAGTGCCTCATATAAAAAAATATAATTTTTTAGTTATCATCATGAATAAGTTAAGTAAATAAAGCTTATTCTATTTAATTATCAAGAGTAAACTAAGTTAACTTGACAGTCCATCAAATAGCACTTGTATCGGTCTTTTAGATTTTCAAAAAGTTATAATATTTTCTACAAGACTGACACATTTTAGGTTGTGTCGTTTTTGTAACTAAAATGGAGAATACAATGTAAAATAAAAAATCGAAAATGTAATATAAATTATTAACTCATATAATATACAAAATATTAAAAATTTATCATCATTAAATAAAGTGAAATCAATCTTTTGGAAATATACGTAAAGCAACGGTTTTATACTCAAGGTAAGCCTCTTTGATGTGGAATTCGGATTCGTGGACGGACAAAAGATGCGCCATTCGACTGACATCGGACTGAGGAGATTGCGAACGGAGTTTGGCAACGCATTTGTAAGCCCGCCACTATAGTTGCAATAACTACTCATTAGTGTAACCGAATTGAAACAAGCCGAGTGAAACAACCTGGCGATGCTAGCGCGAGTGAGTCAGTAGTAACAATATTGTTTGTATTACTACACGTTTCTGCATTGTCTCTCACTGTTAAACGCCAAACTGCTCTCTCGTAATCCTTTGCGATCGCGAGCGTAACGGAAACGGGAGACAAAGATCCTTGCGAATAATCCTTTTCTTGGAGTATGACGTTTTCCAAGATGCTTCACTCATTATCTCAATAGAGTGTCATTGAACGAGGTGCTGTTGTTGGTAGCAACATAATTGATTGTATTGCTGTCAGACACAAATGTTTCTCAGGAAGCAATTCCCTGGTTCAGCATCAATTCCGATTGTATTTCGTAAATGATCTGGGTAATTCGAGTCTGCGTCTGCTCGTCGCTTCGATCCCGATTTACAAATTGTGCTAGTCGAATTGACCACTGTGTGCAATAAATAATAAGGAAGAATAATTGTTTCCTTGCCAGTCACTTTATCTCTGTTTCGCTTCGGTTTTCTTCCCCGGGAAAATCAATGTCCGTCAAAACGTTCCTACTTACTATAATAATTAGCGAAAACAAAAGCGAAATGTCTTTATAAAAGAGAAAGAACGAGCTTTGAGAAGGGATAATCTTTGGAGGAAAAAAAGAAAAATAATATTTATTTTTGCTCCCCCTTGAGAGTCATTATGCGATCACGGGAGAAATTCAGCGACAGAACAAGGGATGTAACAACAAACTTGGCGTCGATTTCTCTCGTCGCGTTTAGCGATTATTTCGATCATCTTACATATTTTGAAGAAATTGTTAATACAGAAATTAGGTCGATGCGACCAAAATTTTGCGCTATTTGCCATTTCTGGTATTTTTTTATGTACATCTTTATTTAAAGCACACACAAAAAATTATTGCAATTATTATAATTTAATTATAATTTCTAGTCATTTTCTGTGGCAACTATATACTTTTTTATAGAACTATAAATAATAACTAAATACAATTGTTATAAATAGCATTATAGCAGTGTATGTATGTAACTATAAAATGTGTGCGGAGCTCTTAATCATATTTATTCTATTCAATTATAATCACACAAATATCAAGATTTTTCTCTCAGGCAGTGGAGAGATTTGTCCTTCTATGGATTTAATTGGATTTTTCTGTTTGCTTGTTGTATATAGGTGTTCGACAAACATAATCGTGGGTATATCACCGCGTCGGATCTTAGAGCGGTGTTGCAGTGTCTAGGAGAGGATCTTTCCGAGGAGGAGAGTAAGTTATTAGATATTTAACGCATTCCTCAATAGCCATTACAATGAATGTGATGTGATTACGCGAATATAATAACGTGCGTTGGCGTTCCCTCTATCTTTCTCCCTCGTTCCCTTTCTATCCCTCCCTCCTCTCTCTCTCTCTCTCTCTCTTTCTCTTTGAAATACTTTCGATAAGAGAAACTTTAGCCATAAAAGCTAAAGTAGGCCATTTCCATCTAAATTGGCATACCTAAGGCCAATTGATTCTCGGGAAGCGTAACTTCATAGCAGAGCTCGGCATTATACGGATAAATTTCTATTTAACGTGGAAAGTTTTATTTTCAACCATTTTTTCACGTAATAAATGTGAACATAATTTTATTTTATAATTATATGTTGTTAATTGTAGATTATAATTGCACAAATGAAATAGTACAATTTCAAAATTGTACAAAAACAATCGAATTTTAATTATTATAATATCTACTATTTCGAGATAAACGAGTTTGCTAACTAATTAAGTAGCACTTTAGAAAATTAAAATTAATGCCTGATATTCGAGCTCATTGTTGAAAATTAATCAGATTTACCTAGTTAAGCAAAATGATGCTGTATATATGTATATTGTTTCTGTAAAAATATTTTAAATATTTTTCTGACTGAAAATATCGCATTGTTTTATACAATACATTATACTTAGAGAAATTTATTTGTGTATTGTTACAACATACATATAATACAAACGTACACTTTTTTCTTGTATAAAGAACATTTTAAAGACTTTTCTTGCCTAAAATATATCATATTATTTTTAAGAAAGGAGAAAATATCTTTCATCTTATGAGTATTATAATTTTTGCCCCGAATTATTATTTGTGCGTACTTGCCCTTTGTTTTATGCCAAAGACTTAAATTTCCTAATTCCTTGTGTTCTCATACATACTCATCGCAAATCTGGACCATGCGCCTTTAGCTGTGCTATCCTACAATTATATTTCTCGCCGCGAAAACATCAGCACATCGCCCGCGCCAATCGAGTGTTTGCACAAATACAGCAAGCAACGGCTGAATCATCCGTGCTATCATAAACATGTAGACACACCTGTCAATACCGATTACTCCGCAGCTATTATTTACTTTAAGATTGCCGTTTTGTCAAAGATGTATCAGCTATTAGTTAAGAATCAATTAACTAGTAATGAATTTACGATTTCCATAAATTGCAGAGAAATTCATCGTATTTTCCCAAGTTAATGGCAAATTTGTAGAATCAATTAAAACCGAATTTATTTTAATTTATGATCTAACAACAATAAATAGCAAGAGTCATCAATATAACGTCTGTGTCAATATGACGTTTCTTGTATCAACAAAATCACAAAAAGAAGCTTTACGTATCAAATTATAACATGATACAGAAAAATAAATTATATCTTATTGTTAGCTTATATTATGTATTGTGTAAGATGATGAATGTTTCTCGTTATGACATATGTAATCTTACACAGTACGTAATATAGGCTAAGATACAATTTATTTTTCTGTGAAATAAATTTGTAACTATAATGAATAAAAATATACTAACATCGTCGATTATTATTTTCCTTATTTAAGCAATAAGCACTTGCAATCCTGGTCGAATAATTCATTGGCGATATAGTGTTCAAACATTGGCATGCACTAGGAATATACTGCGTCAGTATTGTGCCAATAAATTATGCTATTAGAAAAGTAAATAAGTATATATACTTTTTTACTTGCAATTATTGCTTAATTAATAAAGATAGTAATTTATAATGTTATCCATTATTTATCAAATACAAATTAAAAATGACGATTAAATAATAATAATATATTATCACAAATGTGTAACATTTATTTTACGTCGTTAATTAATCGACTGACATCAAATGAAAAAAAAATGACCTTAAATCATCATTATAATGATAATATTTTCTTATTTGGGGAATGATTACCTGAATTTTTATATACTTTAGCAGAGAAGAAATAAAGTCTCATACCTTGTTATTTTATTTTTTTTATATTTTTTAGAAAATATCGAATAAATCTATATACATAGTGATCTCAAATACTAATAAATTACATTATTAATTACATAATTAAAATATATAATAAATAATAAAGTTAAAATAGAAAAATTAGTAACATACAATAGTAATTAATAATGGTAACTTTTAATTGGAGTAATTTAATTATTTATAAAATAAAAATTAGGAAACTATCTCCGCGCGCGACTTAATTGATTGAAGACAAACTTGCTTTAACGGAATTTGTGTTATTGCAAACTGTACGATTCTCCGAAATGTGCATTGGTAAATTTCTATCTATTAAAGCAATTTGTAACTGTTGCAAATCATGACATGTATCTCAGATGCCAAGTATTAATCGCGATGTTACAGTCGCGCTGACCGCCTTGCAAATTTACGGATCGCAATGTATACGACTAGTATCTCGTGTCTGTCACGCTTCCTGAGCGGCCCGTGTGTCAATGCTTTGCATTCAACATTTGAAGAATGACATTTCGATCGGTTGGATCCATGCGGGCGCCTGCAAGCACGCTGATGACACATACAGTGTACAACACAGAATAATAAATACATAAAAAGTAAGCAGTAAGCAAACCAACATTTTTTATTTGTTACTGTTTACATTACACTGTTAATAAGAACGGTAATTTTAATTTAACCCTTCAGCACCGCTTCGAAATTTTTAATCATAGTTTACATTCTGGATCGTTGGAGGAAACGATGTACGTTTTTCATGATTCCGGACTATATAAAGTCAGAAAAAGTATACTTTCGCAACCTTTAATAAGTTTTTACTATAATAAAAACTGCACTATATTTTATTTATTTTTTATATTTTGAAATCTGAATAAGAATTTTGAAAAAACATGATATTGAATGTGCCTTAAAAAGGCACAAAGTGGTGCCACAAGATTAAAAACGTATAATGGACTTTTTGAGACATGCAAAAATATTATAATTAATATTTTTGTATGTTTGAGAAAATCCACTATGCGTTTTTAAGTTAATATTACTAGCAGTGTATTGTCTTACGTTCACTATTATGACTGGCTAATTTGTTTATTGCTTTATATGTCTTATTGCTTTACGTTTTTCTACGTGCCATTGGTTACCTTTTATTCTCTTGTGTGCCCTGAGTTTTAAAATACAATCAGACTACCGCGGGCTGCTCCGGGAAATGCAAGTAAAAAGAATTTTGCATTACGCATTTGTTTTTTCTCCCAAAGACTCTTTCGGGTTTGCGATCTTAATTATCGTGCCGCGTTTGTATTTTTTTCGTAACAATAGGCGCGGAAAAATGCGTTTAAAGAAGCGTTTAGAGAAATAATTGGCTCACAAGAAGGAAAACACGGTCTGCTCTTGTACGTTATAATTGCATTCAGTTAATTACGCTCTAATAAAAGGAGAATGTGATCAACAAGACTAGTAATTCAGATATGATTTGATCGTTATTGCGTTGAAAAAGTCTTGATGTTATCGGTAAGTTAAAACGCTAGTTCTTGCTCGTTTACCAAATGTTAAATTCGTTGCTGGATACGAAGGAAAAAGTAATTTCAGTCGAGAGAGAGAGAGAGAGAGAGAGAGAGAGAGAGTGTGTGTGTCAACAAAATGTATACATCGAGAAACTCAGCTTACATCGATTGATTTGATAATCTCGCACAAACGGACGATCGACACAAGTTTCTTGATTGGCCGCAATCAGTTTAAACTAAATCGCGCAATGTTCAAGATGGACAATTGTCTCACAATTGACGGTATTACAATTTATGAACGCTATAACTGTTGCTATAATATTGTGCATTTTTGTCGAATAAATAGTTCAAATGATGTCAAAATCTATCCCAATTGAATTTCTTCATATATAGAGTCAACTATTTTTAAAATCTATCATAAAACCTGAGAAGAATCGCTTGAAAAAAATTACACTAATTTATAAAGTTTCTGTTTCTCAACAACTGAATAATGAATCTTATGTACAATGAGTCTTATGGCCCACCCAAAATTACAAATATTTACATAATTTGAATAAAATATTAAAACTACATGTATAACTTAATGAAATATGATATGAAACATAATAAACCGAGAGCTACATCACCGAACAAAAACAAAGTGAAGTTATGTTTCTTTTTCAAAGTTAAATTTGTACGTAAGTTTATGCATGTAAATATCTTTTCAAAATGACCGTTGACCTATTACCTTTTTGTGATCATTACAAACAATTGTAATTTTTTAAACTATTATAATCTCGTTTTTAAAAACTCTGTAATAATATTTATGTAGTTGATCAAAGAAACGTCTCCAATCCCTTATCTATCATTAAGTTATACGTTAAATTAAGTTACATTTTCAACATTTTTTTCTTTTTCATTTCATGATTAACCTACCCTACACACATTAAATTCAGTATTTCAACTTTATTATATAAAGAAATTAAACATTTCCATGGTAACTCGATTTGTTAAAGAACCACCTTAAAACTCTTTTAAATTTAAATTTCGTTTATTTCTAATAAAATTACAGTTTGAATTTTAAAATTCGTAGCATAACGAACTTTTTTTCCAATGCAATATTTTTAACTGCTGAAAAAGAATGTAAGGTTAAAAGAATTTTATCGCCTCAAAGATTTTGAGAAATCAATAAATTATCTTTATTTTTGCAAGAACTACAAATTTAAATAATGTGTAACTTTTTCATTTACTTTACGGAGTAAAATACAAAAAAAATATTATTCAAGTGTTAAGAAACAAAAATATTTTAAATCAGTATTTGTTTGATATTAAATATTGCTAACAAATTTTATTATTTTAATATATCACTCAAAATTGCAACATAGACAAAAATTGAACGTAAACAATAAAAGATACTTCAAATCATTTGTTTCTATATATTGTAAAGAAATATTTACTTTTTATAATTATACTATATATATTATGAATTTATGTTATTATATACGTAAGAAATTCAAAGCAAAAGTTACTAAAAATGAAAGATAATTGCGTATAAGAACGAGAAACTGACGGCTCTTAATAGGAAATTAAATTTTCTTTTATTAACGAAAATTTTATTTAAAAATTTCAAGAAAGCATCCGAAGGAAAAGTCCTCGAATGCCAGCATGGTATCGTAACGGATCGTTATGCCTTCTTCATTCCTTTTCGTAGCAATAAATTCTATCGTGGAATAATGCGGGTATATTGGTAATGTCTTTCTCTGCATCGCTCTCGGCACTCGTGATACGAATTAATCCCATTGCTCAATGCAGTATAAAGATATATGTATATTAACTGAATCACTATAGGGATATAGGTGCATTTTCTCCATATAAACAACCGTGATAGGAATATGTTATGCATTGAATTCAACATTTTAATTTTATCTGAAATGTATCGTTTTGTTTTTCCTAAATGCCCAATCACGGTCAATAATAGCGAAAAATATGAGACATTTTTTACAACACAACGTTAAATATCTTAGAATAAATGCCTTCAAGCCTGTATATCTTCAACTAGAGATATTTATCGTTATTCGTCATTTAGTAGAATAGTATAGATAAATCCGAAAAAAAGTTGCTTTTATATATTCAAAATAATGATTTTTAATGACAAAATTTAGCATGGTTCGTAATTCATTATTTGAAGAAAAAAGGTTGGATAAATAAAAAAAAGTGAATTGTAAATCCCTCTTTTTCTTTTTGCTTTCAGTTGAAGATATGATTAAGGAAGTGGACGTAGACGGGGACGGCCGAATTGATTTCTACGGTAAGATTTCTTGTATTGCCATCGCAAGGTTTCGTGCAATGTAGAGATAAAGCAGGTGGTGAAAAAGAGATTTCAGTTCCTGTACGATCCATTCTAGAAATGATCGATGGAGTCATATAAAATAAAAGAAGAATCGAACTTTTTATAGAAAAGTAAGAATTGTTCAAAGAACATTCGAGAAATAATGGAGAAAACGAAATACAACTATTTTTCTCTTTTCTTTGCAATATTATCTAACAATTAAAATCTCTTTATAAAAGGTTAGGAGTTGTTTAAAAGGTTACAGAAGAAACGAGAGAGAGATATGATTACTTTCCTCTTTTTTTGCAATGTTATATAACAATTAAAATCTCTTTTCCTTATTTCAATATTTAGTATAATAGACATCACAGACACGAGCATTATATAGCTTTTTACTTTTTTCCTTTTATAATAATAAATAAATTTTTATATATGTGCGTGTAATCGACTTTATACGTTCTTTTCAAAAAAAATATTTTAGGATATATATTTTACAATTCAAAGCGTTATCAAAAATATAAAAATTCTATAGAGTGTTCTATTATAACGTTTGAATGTCTGTATAAAATTTAAGCACAATTCTCTTATTGGTCTAAAAGTTATTTAATGTTTTATACAGAAGCTGTGCATTTTGGGTTATCTCTATGTTCAGATCCATTATTGGAGTGTCAATGTTTATATTCGCAATATCACAGTTCACTAATATCAAGTTGCTCTTCGCCTTGAGGAAGTGAACTGCAGTGTTCATGTGAAATGTTGGCATTCTATGTAATAATAGATCTGGACACGGAGATAATCTGCGAAACACATTATTTCTGTATAGAAAGGAAACCTCAAACCGTGGAAACCTCAAAAGCATTACTTAATTTTTTATATAAGCTTAATAACATTTTGCAACGTACACATTGTGCTTGTGTACGCTTTATTTCGTTTATCTTATCAATATTATATCTTTGATTACAATTTTCGATTCAGAATTTAAGTATTCTGTCAAGTACTGAGATGTTTAATGAGTTTTATTCTTGAACTTTAATATTACGATATTTCTTATGTGACACCGTTTTGTAAAATCATTCAATACGATATTTTATTTAATGATTATTCTATAGTGAAATTGATAATTTGTTAATGTGTCAGTATTGTACTGAACGAAATCTAAACTAAGGATTGAAACATCTAAGTTGTGTTTTGTGTTAATATAAATAAATTCTACACACGTTCATCCTGTGTCGATTCCTATGGGCTTTATCAAAATTTCTTAATTATTTAATTATTTTATTTTAATTTTTATATAAAATCATTTTTTGTACTTATTTGCAAATTTTATGATAAAATAGCACAAAATAGTACAAATTAAATCAATGTTGTGTATGTATAATAAAAACTCTTCCAAATATTTATACAAAAGTTTATTTCGATCCATTTATTTGTTTAAAAATTATTTATTTAAAATTGCAATAAAATATAGTAAAGACCATAAAATAATTTTGTTTTTTATAGCTGTTTCAGAGCGTATGATTTACAATTGATATTAATTTTTTTAACTGATTCTTTAGTTGATACTGTTAGTTGATATTCAGTAAAAATATTTTTAATTTCTTTTTTGTTTGTGATTTCAGAATTCGTTCACGCTCTCGGCGAGCCGGGAATCGACGAAGACGAAGAAGATGACGACGAGGATCTGCAATCTCCGCTCTTCTAAGATCACGTTTATTCTCACCTCTCTGTTAGATAAGACATACCGATACGGGCAAAAGCGATGTGCAATCTCGCTTTCGCTAAGTATTCCTTTTCTCGCGTTTCGCAATCCGTACGAGTATGCGATTGACAAACGGAACGAGGCTCAATTTCGACTTCGTAAACTCCGTTTACGTTTCATATTAATTCTCATCCTTATTCTCAGATTTCGAATCAAATTTTAATGCTGGAACGCGAAGATCTCGCTAAGCGCATTGTGAATATAGATTACAAAGAAAAAAAAACTTAAAAATAAAAAATCTGCACTGAGCTATCGTTATCTGCGAATCATCGCGGGTACAGCACGAATTTTCGATGTATACTAAAAACACACGTCATACGCGAATCGCGACCCCGTCGATCGGGGGATTTTCGATAAATCACGAGTTTCATGACTCGATAGCTCGTGACACTTGATTTAATTAACGGTCACCAGTCGTCCGCTGATGAACGTGCAACATGTGAACGTTTCGAACGTATCTAATTCTAAAAATTGTACCTTGACTCTTTATATGCGAATTCAAATCAAATAGTTTACGTAGATTGAAAAATTTGTTCGAAAAAAGATTGGTTTCCTTTAAAATAAAATGAAAAATTCCAGATGTCCGAATGAAATAAAAATTTCCAGTTGAACGGATAAAATAAAAGTTCCCAGTTGCAATATAAATTGAATAAATATGCAAAAATAAAACACTAGACTACGAAGAGCCATTTTTTTTCGTTAGCACGCTTAAGAAGATAGCGATAAATCAGGTAATTGAGATAATTACATGAGATAATTATGAAGTAGTTGGTAATGAGCTTGGCGAAATTTCGCCGCGCTGGACAAAGTGATAAGAGCTTCTGGCGACGAGCCATAAATTCGCGAAAACACCGGATAAATCATCAGCGGTCGACTACATGACTTTTATCTCGGAAAACGGAAATTATTCGAAAAGTGAAGCCCCTGTCCCTCCGACGGTACCGCGACATTTCACACGATGCGGAAGATGCAGAGATTTCAATTTCTATTCCTGAAAACTCCTTGCAGAAATTCAATTTAATACTGGTTAATTTATATAATATTGGAAATTACTTATTTTTAGTATTCAGAGCATTGTTGCCCAGTGCTTTTAATACTTAAAACACACTGAAAAAAATTACCAAATCTTAATATACCTACTTCTTTGAGTAGTACTAAGCAAACATTTACTTACAGTAAATATTTACTCAATAAAAGATGATAGTTAAATCAAATTAATGATTTTTGTATCAAATAATATGTGTTTACATTTAGTAAATATTCACTTAGAACTATTTAAACAGATATTGAAATTTAGTTTTTTTTCTCAGTGTATGTAATGAATCACTACCTTCCAGTATTAAATTTCCGTAAGGAATGAGCGTCGAGTGCGAAAAACGATGAACTAATTAAGAAATAAGTAATTCTCATTGATTGAGAAATAAATCTAATTAATTTCGCACGTATTGATATTCGGAGGCAGACGTGGCTTCTATAATATATATATTGACTAATACTCTCTTCCGAGTCTCTCGATGCCGCACTGGGCAGACTTTAAGATGTAAGATCGATTAGACCGTAATTGAATTCCGTCTCGTATGTGGACTTTTTTCCTCGATTTTACTCTCGTCTAATAACTAGATAACATTACATTCTATTTAAAGTTAATTTTAAGAGGAACCGACGCACCGCGACTTCTCCGTGGATCGCGCCGATCATGCATGCGTCGCGATGGCGCGATCGCCGAGCGAGCGAGCGAGAAGGGAAAAGAAAGACCGAAGGATCGCTAACGTCGCTCGCTCAACCCCGACGATCCGCGATTACCGTGCCGAATCGATGGATCTGCCACGATTCCTTTCGCCTGAAGTTAATCCGGCGACCGGTGAGCGGACTTTACATCGATCTTCGCTCGCTTTGCCCTCCTCGTATTACGTACCTTAAACGACTATATCACTGTTACGCCAATAACAAAGTCGCACGCTGTTTCAAATATTTTAAAGGATTTAATAAATCGCTAAAAAATATATAGCTCCAGCTGTTTATTTAATTCCCTTTTAATATTCTACGTAAAGAGCACGCTTTTATTGAAATATCTAAAAATTTAACTTTAAATATAAGTTTAAACATAATTTTATTAGACTGTTAAAATAATTATACTATATAAGACGCTCAAGTTGTTGGAATATTAAAATTTTTTTTACAGCATTGCCCATCTTGCTTAAGTTTCCTACATAATTAATTTAACAAAATTATTTTTAGACTTGTGTAACTTGCTATATTTTTAGAAACTTCGTTATTTCTTTTTCTCTCTCTTGTAAAATGTTTTGTTCATTATTATTCAATAATATCACACGTCCTTCAGGATTTCTCTATTCCTGTTCAACCCACTGGGTGCTTTATCGATTGTTGATATTTCGATTTGTTTAATCACGTTGTTGGTAGATATCCTATCCCACTAAAGCCACTCTTCATAATATCTAAAGATTAAAGGTTACTCATGAGATATGAATGAATTTTAGTGATGAATCTCGTGGTATAATCTTTAATCTTTAAATACTACGCATTGAAAACAAGCATTAAAATTCTTTTTTATGGACAATGTGTTAATTCTGAAGTATTACATTCATCACTGTTAAAAGTTTATATTAAATTATATTGAATTTAAATTATTTTTAATCATTTCTACAGATTACCACTGCTCCTACACAATATATATCGTTAATTTAATTAAAACAATGCAACAATGCAAACAATTCAACTCAAGAAGTGTATTAAATTTAACTCAAAAAGTCCATTATACGTTATATTAGATTTAGTTCATATTTATTAAATAGATACGTCAATCCAAACTTTGTTTGTTTTGATGAAACTACACAATTTAAATACAGAAAAGATTATATGTGCAATGATTGTATTTTTAGCCACAATTATATTAAAATAATACATTTTAATATTATACTTGGGGAAATTAAAATAACAAAATATTATTTAAGAAATTGATTTAAATTTACAGTTACTGTTAAAGACTTTAACAGTTAGTTAACATGATACGTCTTTCAAGGTTTCCGTTCTCTACTCTCACTCTATTACATGCTCAATTCATCGATTAGTTTGACCGAGTTGTCGATAGATTTCCTCTGTTCTCCTAAATATTAAAATTTTTACGGTTTTATTTGTGACATTATTTACTAAAAATTAAAAAGAATAAAACCTTTTCGTCTTCTTCATATATTTCTCCAATTTTTTCTTCAACGTTCATTTTTATTAGCGATAAATAAACTTACATATCTTTACAGTAACAATGTCCCATTCGTAACTCTCGGAAAATATGAGAATATCTATTCGCGAAAATTCGTGTAGATCAAAATTTCCATCTCGCTTGTCGCATTTGGTTGTTAATTCCGCTTCTTGCATCCTCGACTCAACGATGAACGAATGAACGAACGAACGAACACTTTAAAAAAATCAGTACGACGCGAATGGTACGTACATAGCGTAAATATTTTATAATGATCATCGTCTACGTTGCGTACGTTGTTTCACATACGATCTACGTACAAGTCTTAAACATTACTTACAGTACTAACGATTAGCGAGCGTACAACAGCCAAACATGGGAGAAGAAGTGAACAACATAAGACCGCGCGACGCGCGCGCGCGTTGCTGCTACAAGTATTGTAATCGACATAGCGATCGGGGCCTATTGGCTTACATATATTTTTCCTTCGTAAATTTTGATATTAGTTTTTCTTGGACTGTTCTTTTTTTTTAAGTTCCCTTATGTCATTCGGCTGATCATCTCTCATCAACTGGCGTTTATGATTCAATTGCGTGTACTTCCTTTTTCCACCGTAACATTATCTATCCTTCGTCTTTATCTACTTTTTATTACAATTCTATCTTACAAAATAATTCTTACAAGAATCCTGTTTGTACAATATTATATATTTCGTTGCATGATCAAAGCCACGGGAAATCAATGATTAGCGGATTAATTTGATTTCATCGCCGTGTCTATCTTTGATAAGCATAATTATAATAAAAAAAGGACCACGATTCTAGGATTAATTATATACTAGACTATCAGCCCGATCGGATTTAAGGTCTTCATTATCTTCAGGCGAAAGATCATAAATTTATACATCTTTGATGTGGTAAAATACAATTTGATCGTTTATCGAAAATTTCGCGTTTTTATTCTACTAAAATTTTTATTTAATTTTTTTCATTGATCCCGTCGCGCAATGATTCATCATTATTACGTACTTAAATAAGCTGGCGATGTGATTGGATCCTCATCTCTGAAACTCGTTCATTACCTGACATTGTTAATTTTTCTTGTATCGAAACTAAACTTATCGATCACAACGCAGATCGCACTGCATAAACAAAATTACGGTGAAAAAGAACGTAGCTTTATTATATGACTGTCTTCGACAATGCCAGTTAAGAGGAGAGAATCTATGTTTTGTAGCCTAAAATATCGGAGATCGCCGTTCAAATATTTGTTGGATAGGAACGAAAAACTTGTTTCCTCCAACAAATTCTTAAATTAATGTTTTATTACAAGCCTCTCTCGCACTTATCCCATTAACGCGGGAAACAAGACGTTTACTATATCTCAGACGTGTGTGTTAGTCACTTCTCAAACGTCTTAATGGATCTGTATGTGTTGCTTGGGAATATTTTTAAACAGTCTCACACAAATCCGTCTTGATACGCTCTATCCGCGAAAAGCGTTCATCCTTTACGCGTCGTGTGCGTGCATATGGGTGCCTCTCTTTCTCTCAAGTAGAAGTTCATGCAGGTAAGAGTTCATTGCAGCCTTTACCTCTCAATATGGTCCTCTCGAAACGAAACGTTCGACCAAGCTTCTAATCGGATTTAACCGATACAATGAATAACGTAACGAATAAATTGTACAGTCATTTCAATCCGCCCGAGATGACGTTTCCCGACAGACCTTCTAAAAGACTCATTTATTTGACCGCAAAAAAA